GAAAACCCAAAGGAAGAAAAGTCGAAAATGGTTGAACACTTCGATGAAAAAATACCAAAATATGCCGACATTTGGGGTCAAATCGCGCACATCCAATCTAAAATATTTAAAAAAATCTCTTCCTCATAATTCATACAAAATCCAAAAATCAGGATCAGAAAGTTATTCGTTAAAATCTTTTTATAAAAAAACCACAGAATTTTAAAGGTAATTTTTCATTTCATCCCCCTCCCCTCCCGCCAAAAAAAAAGTTATATTCATAAATCCCGAACAGTAAATGCTTCCACAAATGTACACGCACATACAGTTATGTTGTCAAAATGGATATCGAAAGGACTTACAAGAACATGTAGGTGGAATCAATGAAGTTCCAACTGCCACCATTCAAAAATCGGTTGAAAAGTAGTAAAGCAAAGAACGTAGTGAGTGAATACATGACCACTTGGATACGTTCCTTCAGCGTTGAAAATTTTACCAGCAATGAACATATGTATATGGCCGGATAAAGCGAGAATTGCGCGAGAACACCATATAAAACACTAGTACATAAGACACAACCTGTTAACAAATTCATCACTGAATCACATCACAAAAAACAACTGTGACAATGTTACCAGTACTTCTAAACACCGCTAATATCAAGTCGAAATCATTGGCCAACGCGTCGAACACCGGTGCGAAGATGCGTTTTTTACACAACTCCCTGCACGTTTTGTCGCTAACGGCACTGTTTTTTCTAGCTAAAAGAGTTGAGACCGACCACCACGATTGTCAAAAATAAACCCTTAAAATTCCAGCTTCCTATTTATTCTGGTTCCCGAGTTAGCAACTTATTCGCCGAAAATTTTCTCCGGCCCATAGTGGGATTCACGCGGGCAAAAGTGTCCATTTTGGGGGTAGGGGCCTGTGCATGCATGTAAACTAAGTTCCCAAAATTCCAGCCTAGTAGTTTTCGTAGGTTTCGAGATGAAAAATTTGTACGGACGCATACACACAGACAACCCTTCGGCAATATGCGTTTCTGCATTGTGTAGATGCAAAAAAACGCATAAAAATTGCGATATTGACTGAATTAACAGATATTCGTTAAGAACTACTAGTCCTTACTTTGTCCTATGGCCTCTATAAGTCCATATTTTTTAAAATGATAAAATTCAAATGCATCAGAATAAGCCGAACTAGTTTGATATTTTCTAGAAACAACTGAAGCGCCTTCCTAAACTTATTCATCCAGTGCTCCAATGTTTCTGATTGCCATGAAGCAGCTGCTGTTGTCGTTTTTTTTTTCTTTTTCTTTCGCAACCAATCACTGATATCTGTTGATAAGAGGACAAACTCAAATGTTAACCCTTCCCGCTTTCGCATTCGCTTGCTCTGGGAGGTGTATGTAAGAAAACCCAAAGTAGCAGAATACGCCAGTAGCAGATATGAGCTGTGAAGGTTGTTGATGGCTCTAGAAGATTATTTGGAAACAGGACGATGGCTGGGTTATACCTTTCCATAAGCCAGCACAAATTTACCAAAGAAACAAATCAGCAAAGTCGCAAAAGGACTAATCCTCCCATTCGGTGCAGTCGAATTTTCGACGTAAAGCCTGGCAGTTGTGCCACCTCCACTGTGCATAATTCTCTGTCCGGCTGAGGAAAAAAAGAGAAAGATCTGCTTCACACGAATGCAAAACAAGCTAAAAATGTGTGACACGGGAAACTAATACTGGAAAAATTTTTGATAAAAATTTGACGCTATTTCAAATCACTAGACATTTCTGATATTTCGAAAATTCGTCAATTTCTGAAAAAAATTTTACAGAACTCAAAAAAAAAAAAACAAACCTTTCACAAAAGCAAAGATAAAAAGAGCGGTGATAAAATTATACAGAACTGAAAGACTAAAAACAGCACATGTCGCAACTGTCACCGGATTGAGGATATAACTGAAAAATCATAAAATTGTGAATTTTGAAAGCCATTCGCCATAAATGTAAGCAAGCTGCTACTAGCATTTTTATATGTAATTCTCAAAAGGAAAAGCGATTGGCAGCCTTGCCAGACAGTAACAGTTGTTGGCACATACTCAGGTTAATTTCGCGCCCTCAGATTCTCATCGAAAGTAAATACCTCGAAAAATACACTTTCAACTTAACAAGAAATATCAAAGATGCATACCATTTGGCTACTAACTCAGCAACCCGTTCAACATCATCGTTTGCACTTCCATTTTCCCTCATGTAATGCATCGCTACGTTGCGTAAAATCTCACTCGTTATCACATCAAGTGCCTTAAATGAAAATAAAGGTTTCCAGATCCACTGCTTTTTTTATGTAGACTGATCAGCAGTAAAACAAGAAGTCTCAAGAAGCAAAAATCAACGAACCACGAAAAAAGCGAGCAGCAAGGCAGGATGCCCGATGAACGCGCCAAACAAATAAAGAAGCACAGGTTGCTGCAATCAGCAGAATGAGAAGAGATGCGATAAATTTAGTTTAAAAAAATGCAAAATGGAAAATTATTATAAGTGCTGCTACTTATGATCGTAATTATTATAGCTATAATAGTAACTACCATTGTTTTCATTATTACTACTGTTATTATTAATGTTTATCATCATTATTTTTTACTGGTGATGCTAATTAATATTACTATTCTTGTTACCGTTGTTTTTATCACTTTTATTATTACTATTATTATTATTACCATTATTATTATTGCCATCAGCAGCTGCAGGCCACAAAATTTTATCAAAACGACGTCAAATCTGGTCAGAAATTCGTTCAAATTCATAAGAGCTAAGTCACATGAAAGAACGAATAAGAAAGGAATGTTGTTGATAAGAAGCTAATTTTACGGCTAGCAACAGCGTAAGAGTGGTGAAGCTTACACAGTGTACCATATCGCCATCGTAAGGCGAAACACCATCGCTGAACATTTGGATGCCATCAACAAGCCTTCGAAACGAGTTCTGCGGGACAATCAGTTCTGGACGTTTTTCCAAAAATTCGATGCAAAAGAAGTAAGCAAGCACCCGTAGCAAAATTGCCAGCATCCACAGCCTACAAATTTGCAGACTCAACCAATTTTCAAGGAGAACCCTGTGCCTGATTATGCAGTGCAACCTCGTAACCCCCTTCTCCCTTGCCTCCCCCCTTCCCTCCTCCCCCTCTCCCAGCCCATTTTTGCTGGACGTGTACTAACTTCTCCGAACCGTGTTATTCGTGTAAATTCAGCAAAATCTGATAATGTTACCTCTCCTCGGTACCGATAATTTTTAAATTAACAAGTCTTACATCATCCTGCTCCAGACGCGAAAGTAGCTTGTCAAAATAGTGCTCATTGTCCCCG